CAATGCTAAGAGTAAAACTCTTAACTAAACCTCCTAGGAATTCCTAAGAGATATGGGCTATCGTCGAGAATCATATTCAACGAGAGCACACACTCAAGCGGTCACAAGAATCTTTCATGGCGGTAGGGCCAAGAGACAAACCAAGGGTTATCATGTAGAGTAGGACGAAGTTGCCTAAACTCAATAGGCAGTTGACGCCTCTGACTAAGTTATGCCGGGAAATCCTCCAAATCCACAAGGATGAGTTACCTACCCCAAAACCTCTAGCGCCTAACCCAAATAGGTCGACGGAATAGTATTGTGAATATCACAAAGACCACGGCCATGATGCTGATGATTGTCGAGAACTTAAGAAGAAAATAAAAAACGGAATTAAGTCTGGTAAATTCCAGCAGTATGTGCAAGGACCCTCTCGACAAAAAAAAGCAAGCCTGGTATATCCCGAAACTTTTCTAAACTTAATTTCAGGGGCCCTCGGGGAGAAAGCCGTGGGAATAACTGGCAACTGAGGAACAATACACAACAACCTCCTCAACAAACTATCGAGGGAACCCCACAACCACTTCAGCATATCCCTCCGGCGGATCCCATCAAGCAGATCACTCACCGAGTGGGTGCTATTTTTGGAGCTCCTCTCAAAGTTTTGTGTACCACAGCCATGAAAAACTCAGTACGGACCGCCACAAAAACTCCTCGTTAAGAACCTAGTCACAAAAGGTTCAAAGGGACAGAAGACATAGTTTTCACCAACAACGACATAGTTCGGGATATCTGTCCACATAGTGATACCATGGTTATCGAGGAGATAATCGGAAATGTACAAGTTAGTCGGGTTTATGTGGACAACGGTAGCGTAGTTGACATCATCTACAGCGGTTGCTTCAAAAAGATGAACATTCAAAACCCTAATATCCGCCCAGCAACAATGCTATTGATGGGCTTCTCGGGCCACACTATTATCCCAACCGGAATCAGATGTCTCCCCATCACGGAAGGGTCGCATCCCAGAATGGTTACATTAACCATGGATTTCGCCTTAATAGATGCACCCTCGCCGTTTAATGTTATCGTAGGATGACCCTGGATGTGCCAAGCCCGAGCTATTTGGTCTCCTTATCACCTAGTGATTAAATTTCCTACAGAATACGGAGTTGGAGTAGTGTAGGGCTGCCAGCGCAGTTCTTGAGAATGTTTGCTCACAGCTGTCAAATTTGGGAAGAGGGCCATGGTGTCTAACCCAAGCACTGGTATATCAGGATGCTACTCAGTCCAACAAGCCGCAATACAATCACGGTCGGAGGATCGAGACACTAATTGCCTACCACCACTTAGTAGCAAAACACGAGAGCTTGTTCTTAACGAGAAGAACCCCTACAAGACCATCCAGATAGGTATAACACCTCAAGGAGCATTGCTAGCCGAGGTAATCGCCTTGCTACGCGAGTTCCGTGATATATTTGCCTGGTCACCTACAGATATGACAAGAGTGCCACGAGATATTATTAAACACAAGTTGAATGTTGATCCCAATGTTAAACCCGTACAATAGAAGAAGAGAATATTTGCTCGTGACCGCAATGACATCATCAATGAAGAAACGTTGAAGCTGCTTTGTCCTAATATCCTCCGAGAAGTTCTTTGGCTCACCTGGTCAGCTAACCCAGTCCTGGTATGAAAGCCCGATAAATCTTGGCGCATGTGCCAAGATTACACGGACCTCAACAAACCTTGCCCCAAGGACTTCTATTCCTTACCCGTCATAGATCAAATGGTCGAAGGTATCACCGAGTATAGGACCCTCAGTTTCCTCGACGCCTATAAAGGATACCACTAGATCCTTATGACACGAGAAGATGCAAAAAACACAGCCTATATCACCGAGATTGGAGTGTACTGTTATGACAAGATGCCTTTTGGCTTGAAGAACACCGGGGCAACCTATCAATGCCTCGTTAATCGAGAGTTCTACGATCTGATTGGCTGAAATATCGAGATATATGTAGACGACATGGTGATCAAGAGTAACAGAGATGAGCAAGTAGCCAAGGATATGCGTGAGATCTTCTCGATTCTTCGCAAAATAAATATGAAACTTAATCGAAAAAAATGTGCCTTCCGCGTAGAGTTAGGTAAGTTCCTAGGGCACCAAATATCCAAGGATGGAATCAGTGTTGATCTGGCAAAAATTGAGGAGATCCTAGCCATGGAAGCCCCGAAGAATGTCAAGGAAGTTCAGAAACTTACAGGATCCCTTGCGGCTTTAAACAGATTCCTCTCTCGAGCCGCAGAAAAAAGCCTCCCATTCTTTCTTACACTCCGCAAAGGCAGAAAGTTTGAGTGGAACGAGGAATGCCAAAAAGCTTTCCAAGAGCTGAAGGACCATCTTAAACGGCGGCCCATATTAGCTAAGCCTGAGCCGGGAGAAAGCTTATATGTATACCTCGCCGCTTGAGGGAAGGTCATTTCAGCCGTCCTAGTCCAAAACAAGGATGGCAAGGAAATTCCTTTTTACTTTTTTAGTAAAGTGTTACAAGGTGCAGAAACACGATACACGCCCATGGAGAGACTTATCTTGAGTTTGGTTATGGCTGCTCGACGCCTGTGTCCATACTTCCAAGCACACCCAATACGAGTATTAACAAAGTAGCCTATTCAGCAAGTCCTTCTTGAGCCTGAATCCTCCGGTCGGATGATGAAGTGGGCAGTAGAGTTGGGAGAGCACCATATAGAATATAAGCCACGAACGACGATCAAAGGCCAACCGTTTGCAGGCTTCCTAGTCGAGATGCCACGTTCTAATAATGTTCCTTGAGTCGAAAAACCTAAGAATCACCCCGCTGCCCTTGTCGAGATGAATCCTCGAGTCTGGACGCTCTACGTCGACGGCTCTCATTGCGCCTAGGGGGGAGGAGCCGAGATCATATTGGCAAAACCATCGGCTGATCCCAAAATCAAGAGCAAGAAAGAATATGATGCGGAGTATACCTATGCATTAAGATTTGGCTTCCCAGTTACTAACAATGTGGCTCGGTACGAAGCATTGATAGTAGGTCTTAACATGGCTCTAAAACTCGAGGTCCAAAAAACTAAGTCTTTAGCGACTCTCAGGTGGTGGTAAATCAAATCTTAGGTGATTATACAACAAATGATGGGCAGCTCAAGCAATATCTAGAGAAAGTTCTCGAGTTAAAAGATATGTTTGAAGAATGCAAAATCTCCCACATCATAAGGACAAAAAACACAAGGGTGGATGCATTAAGAAAGTTGGCCTCCTCGAACTTCGCGCACCTCAGTCACAAGGTCTGGGTCGAAATCCTCCCTGAGCCTAGCATACAGAAAATGTCGACAATGACTATCACCAAGGACAGTGACACTTGGATGACCCCGTTCATTCAGTTCCTAGCAGATAGGACGTTGCCCAATAATAAGTCCGACGCTCGAGAGCTCCAATTGAAAGCGCCTAAGTACACATTAAGAGATGGAGCGCTGTACAAGCATGGATACCTGCTACCCATGCTACGATGTGTCGGACCAAGACAAGCAGCATACATCCTCGAAGAGATTCATGAGGGATCATGCGGAGCACACATGGGAGCCAGGGCACTCGCTAAGAAAGTACTGCGTTCCTGGTACTTCTGGCCCACGATTTTCAAAGATGCATATCAATTCGTACAAAAGTGTGGTAGATGTCAACGCTTTAGTCTCATTACTCAACAACCGCAGCACGAGATGGTCACCATTCAAAGTCCTTGGCCGTTTTACCAATTGGCACCGATATCATTGGCCCTTTTCATCCAAAAGGGATAGGATGAGTGCGATGGATAATAGTAGCGGTGGATTACTTCACCAAGCAGGTAGAAGCCAAACCGCTAAACTCAATATCTGGAAGACAAGTGCTAAATTTCTTCTGGCAAAATATCATCTGCCGCTTTGAAGTCTTGGTGCAAAGAAATGCAAATTGAGCGTCGGTTCTCGAGTGTGGCTCACCCTTAAGCTAATGGTCAAGCAGAGTCTATTAATAGAACTATCCAACATGGAATCAAGACCAGGCTACGACGCTAAGGGAGCTTGGGTTGAGGAGCTCTTCCATGTCTTGTGGTCATATCGTACCACAACCCACTCCTCGACTGACGAGACCCCTTAAGCTTGGTCTATGGCATGGACGTGGTTCTCCAAGTCAAAATAGGTCTCGCAAGCCCTCGTACAATCAACTTTGTCGAGAGTTCTAATGACGATGATATCAGGCTAAACCTCGACCTGCTCGAGGAACGGCGAGACGTCGTCAGAATAAGAGAAGCCAGGTACATGGAAATCCTCAGAAAACACTACAATAAGCGGGTCAGAGCAATAGATTTCACAGTGGGGGATCTTGTACTTAGAAAAAACGAATCCAGTAGAGCCAAGACTCTAGGGAAACTCGTTGCAAATTGGGAAGGACCTTACAAAGTCATTCAAACTTCTCCAGCAGGCAGCTATCGGTTACAGACCACGGATGACAGTGGAATCGTCCTCCCACGATGGTGGAACATATAGAACCTCCGCAGGTTCTATGTTTAAGCTCTTATTTGCTACGTGTTAGTTTAGGATGTCGGCCTTATTTTTTTTATTTGCTTTATTGCTTTCACTTTTCCATATGTAATGCTAACCCAGGTCCTGGGATAATTATTCAATAAAAGTCATTGCATATTTTCTTATATGGTCGACATTATAGATGGATTCCCTCTTTAGGGGCATCCTCGTTCAGAGCCGTGTATTCAACATGCGGAAAAAAACCGAGGAAGTCCCCTCGTACATGCCATAGATCGCGGTAATAAGTCGAGGAACTCGTACCCAGTTGCCCCAGGGTGCCTTGTACTTTACATCCGGCCGTGAAAGTGCTATACAAATGCTACTCGAGTACAAAAAAAATAAAAAAAATAAAAACAACGCATATAAGGCTTGAATCAAATACATTGCCCTCGCGCCTTATGCCGGGTAGGGTTAAATACATTTGTTTACCCTTAAATGCTAAGGTCTTCCCCCTTGGGGTTAAATCGAGACGACTTAATCACGCCCGAGAATCCTAGCGTCCTAAGATGGTCGATACACTGGTTCAATTTGTCTTTCAAGTCAACAATTTCCCAATCTTGCTCGTCGAGCCTAAGAAGGAATTCTTCGGCGGCTGTCCTCTCACGAGCTTTCTCATGTTCATCCAGACCTTTGAGAATGGTAAGCAGGATCTCACGATCGACCAGTATGTTCTGTTGGACGGCAGATTGTCTTGAATAAAATTCAGCCTCTTTAGTCCTTTTCTTCAGCATCTCAATGGCGGCAATGAAACGTTCTGTCCTAATTTGAATTTGTTTCTCAACAAGTGAAAGGATGTGGAACTTCTCAAGAAACCATAGGGAAACCGCGATTCTTTCACGGCACTTCAATTGGACGTTCTCCTTCCTTAAAATTGCCATTTCTTCATTTATATTTGCCTCCAGGATCAGGGAATCCTGATAATTGAGGTCGTATTGCTGAAGGCGGCGTTAATATTTTTCTTCTTTTTGCTTGAACCGATGTACCAGTCGAGAATGTATATGTATGTTGTATGTTTGTATGGCGTCCACAATATCCTTCACGAGGGTTCTTACAACAGAAAAACTGTGGACATTGCCCAACTTTCTCATTGCCGCAGAAACCATGACATACATCGAAAAATTTTTAGCATGATTTTCGTCCAAGATCATCAGATGTACCTGGTGTACAAAGTATGATTCCTAGCATAAGACATGGGATAAAGTTAAAAGGGATTGGATATCATGTAAATACCGATAGATACTTAAAATATTCTCATTCACCACCGTGAACGGTGATACAATAATTTCTCAAAATAAAGAAGGACTCTATTATAAGGAAATTGAATTCATACAGCAGTCTGAGAATGAGAGTCGTTCCCTGGTTGGTCTTCAGTTGATTCCTCGATAGAGGGGTTTCCTTCCTCGGCTCCTCTGGTATCTCCCACAGTTGGGGGATCTTGGTCCTTGGGACCTGAATTGCCTGTGTCATCCTCCTCGGCAGTCTCATTTTCATCTTCTTCGAGATCAATTCTAAAATCCTCGTCGACGACCTTAGGTATTGCCATTTCCTCACCAGGACCTCTAGTGAAAATGGGAGCCACATCCTCGAGAAAGGAGGTGATGTTCTCGAGTGAACCCATCTTGGATAGAGCTTCACACAAGGGCTCCCACAGGGTAGCTGATCTGTGGATAGTTTGCAAAGACCCTAGATCAAGGCTTCTTACATGGTCTTTTTTGGGTTTTCCTTTAGAATTGCTTCAACACTTAGACTTGATAGGCTTTTTTGACTTCAGTCTTTTTAAGCCTTCGATGGCAACTGCGTGGCCCCTATACGCCATCGAAGCCGTGTTAATCTCTTCCACAGCAAATGTCATCCCCCCTGATGATAGCATCCTCCAGCAAAATGCAGTGCACCATTTATTAAGGTCCTCCTTCGAGATGTGCAGGTTGTAATACTCCTGAAATTTCTGCTTCAGTTCCCCAAGCTGCGTCTGTACCAAGGCGAGCTCTACTTCCTTAGCTTGCAGCTGCTGATTCCTTTCCTCGAGAGCCCGCTTCTCGATCACCACTTGATCTCTCTTAGCTTGGGCTTCTGTTAGTTCTCGCCTTAAGTCCCTGGATCTCTTGGCATGGTTCTTCATGACTGCGCTCATCTGCAGAAACCAGATATAGAACAGATATACATTCAATGATAAAATACGAAACTCAATGAGCACGTATGGATTGAGATGTTTACCAATTTCAATCCATCTGCCTCGGTTAGGTTGGCGGCAAACTCTTCCAGCACAGGGCACTCGATCGTAGGAGGATTGTCGAAGGTATGAACTACGACTGCGGGACCCCCGGTTGGTATCTTAGGAAAAAAAATGGTTACATTCCCCTCGACAGGGTTTTTTCCCTTCTCGACATGATTGGGTCGAGTGCTTGGCCCACTCTCCTTCTCTGAAGTCTCCTTTTCTGAAGGCGCCTCGTTCTCGGTGATAGGAGGAATAGTCTCCTTGGTCTGCCTTGCTGCTCAGATCTCCTTGTCATAAGAAGTGTGGGTTTTCGACTTTTTCGCGGTTGGCCCCTTCTCGGACTACCTGGCGACTGCCTCCTTCTTCTTCTTCTTTATCTTCTCTGTCACTAATTTTGTTGTGGAAGTATTGTCATTTGAGTTTACAACATGAAAGGGGTTGGAGTCACCATATAATCCAGAACCAGCGTTTCCCAATGACATGACCTAAACACACAGAAATAATAACAAGATTAGTACCTTCCTTTTCCTCGAAGGGGACATCGAGGATCTTGTCAGCTTCTAATCCCTCGATTGGCATGACAGGAACGAAATGCTGCACCACTCCATACCCTAGTATCTTGGGATATCTCTCGAGTTTCTCTAAGTCATTGGCAAATTCTTTGATCTTCTACTCATCCTCATTCATCAACTCGTCTTTTACCACCTCGAAGCCTTTGGCTTCTCGATAATTCCAGGCCACACAGTATTTTGTAGGGGCCTTTACATACAGAAAATTGGGTTTCCAAATGGGAGACCCACTATAGGCTTCTACTATTTTTCGAGAGCCTGACACAAGGTTTCTCTTCACCATATACCAATCCTAAAAAGCCATAGACGGTTTCAACACTCTAAAGAAGTACCTCCACAACATAAGACGGGTCTCACCTTGGCTCGTTGGTATTTCTTTACAAAACCGAGGACGTACGTTATGAGGTTAGGGGTAAATCGAGCTAGTCGAATTTTGTAATAGTACACAATCTCCTCGAACAAAGAAAAAAGGGGAAATCTCAACCCCAGAAACATGAAACGTTCATAGATGGTGATTTTTCCTTCTGGGGGAGTATTGCCTCTCTCGGTTCCTAGGGGAGCTCTCATTTCTAACTCCTGGGGCAGGCTATATTTTGTTCTCACTAATCCGACCTTCTCGTCGGAATTTATGGTAGAGGCAAAATCATATACGGTTTTTAAATCTGAGTTCCTAGCCATGGTTCAACCTAGATTTATACCAATCTATTCAACCACAGGAAAATATAAGGAAGTAAATGGAATCGAGAAGTCGTAGATATGGGAACTTACTTTTGGCACTTTCGGCAACGGTTGCCACTCCCTTTTTGAGTTGTAGCTTCTCAGATTTGCAATAGTCACCGGTGGCAACGATCCCTGGGCGTCGGCTGGGGGAGTGACGGGATGGTTTGCTGATAACACAAGTTTAGAAACCTCTTCCTCTTCTGACCGCGACTTCTTTTCGGACCGACGGAAATATATGTTATCGACCATGATATCTGGGGCACTGTAGCAAACTCAGATTTTCATAGAATGGGCTTTGAGAGTGGGGGAAAGTTGTTCTCTTCACAGAATGAAATAGGGGGATTAATAACCCCGAAAGGTTTTATTTATTGCCGTTGCTGCCCACGATTTGACGGTGGAGCGAGTTCCAAGGGAGCGGTAATGATGAAGGTACTGTCGCTTGGGGAACGTGCCCGCTGATACCGCGCGGTTTAGCGGTTTGGGCGGGATTTTAAGGCGGGTTGCCTCCTTGGGTCGGATCCTGACCCACGAGCTGCTTTGTTAGATTTGCTCAGTACAATGTAGGTTGTTTCTAATCCGCCTCGCTTGGGCCGGGTCCAGGTCAGTTTTATTTTGTGTCAAGTCTTGTTTATTTCGTGCAACTAATACTTGACAGGGGCACTTGACGAGTCCATATCCACCAAGGATTACTGGACCGGCCCGTTAACCAAGTATGGCCCAGCCGACCTGATAAAGGCGGTTCTAGAATATGATACCTAGTGGGATTCGGTATCTTTTAAGGTAACTTCATGTATATAAATAGGGTTGATGAGACCACAATATGGGTACGCTATCTCTAGCACAAACTACTACTCACATACTTTCTTTAAACCCTTCTCTGAGTTAAGTATCAGAGTGTCTACCATCGGGAGACCCCGAGGCCTTCTTTTACAGGAAACTCTAGCTGAGGTTCCACTATCAAACCGGCAGTGTAAAAACCAAACTTGGTCAATCATTTCATAAAATGTTTAAGGTCCAAATTCCAAGAGGTTCAAACCTGCAGCTAACAAAGAACCTAATTAAAATACAAAAGCCAAATTTATTTATTGTTGAACCACAAAGAAGTAGGGAGAAAGTTGTGAAAGCGGCAAAAAGTTAGGATTCTCAAATTGATAATATCGAATCCCAATTTGCATGAAAAGGAATATAAAACACGCGCTCCAAATACCAAGTGTTTGCCCAATATCCATATCAATTAGGTTCACAAGACAAATATATACATTATTCCGTTCATCTCTATCGTACTAAAATTCAAATCAAAAGTGAATAATTATTTTGGGATAAAAAGAATATATGTATTGTGAACATGAAACAGAGTTGAGTTTAAATGTTAAGCAAACATTTACCACACATAAAACATAAAGAAAATTTTAAAGTAGGGGGAAGAGATTTGGCATAATGGGCCAAGGATAGCACTTAGCGAGTAAAGGCTGAGCCATGTAAACAGGTTGTCCTAAACCTTCACATAGTTCCAAAGTTTCTCCATCTCCTGTCTCCCAATCAAAACACTGGATTAGGGAAGCCACCTGCCAAACCCAAGACTATGCATAGCTAAGTTGTTTCCAGGGCATCCAAAGGCTATGAAATTCATCCGTCCTTGTTTTGTTTCTGAACCTTCAAACCTCTCGGATAAGAACTTTTCTGGATCATAATATGATCACTATTTCACTTGGGATAAAACAAATTTCTCATAAAATGAAGTGAACTATTAAAACAATATGACAAATACATTATTTTGCTGAAATGGGATGAGTACATATATTATGTTACAGGTAGATAATAATGACTATGGTAGAAAAACATGGTTTGGTTTTGGTGTATATTCAGGATGAGAAGAGGAACCACATGTTTTGTAGCCAAACTGAGATATGCGGTTCTCACTGAATTACTGTAGTTCCTCGGTTAACGTGCGGGATGAGCCGGACCGGAAGACCATGTTCAGGGAAAGGAGTCATATGATACATAACTTTCTCGTTGGGATCAAGTAATTCCAGCTTAAATCTGGTGACCACATTGTACAGAAACACCAGTATATGCACTCGGGCATAGTCTCTTCCTGGGCAAATTCTAGGTCCACCTCCAAAAGGTACGTAGGCGTATGGTGCAGGACCATTTCCTTCAAATCTCGATGGGTCGAAATCCTCAGGATTTGGAAAGTATTTGGAGTCTTTATGAGTTGAATAGCCGCTCCAAAACGTCTGCAAAATTTTTGTTAGATTGCTCATTTTTCCAATGAGGGGTTACAAGTAAAAGAGTATACCTTACAAAATGATCCGTTACATTTAATTTGACCAATATTATGTGTATATATGTTGTTGTTTTTATGAGTTTAAATACTCAGAAATAACATGACAAAGGAAATCTCGAAAATGTCCCTGCAGGCTGTGGTCAAACTAGACTTAGATTCTGGCAGGTTGGACCCAAAAAAAAAATGTTAATACACATCTGCTACAAACCAAACCCACTGATGTTTTTGTTTTCGTTATGGGTCAAAGTTAATTTTTATTAAATGTAACACGCCATTTGTTGCGGTCCGACCACCCTTATTTTTGGTAGTTTTTTTTTTTTTATTATTACGCAAAATGACTACTGAGTGCGACTCACTAATATTTAAAATGTTGTTCTAGTGTGTACTTTTAAAACTGTAAAATGGTACGAGTAAGTGTTATACACTAGTTTGACTTTAATGAAGATATAATAGTAGTGTCTGCCCTATTTATTTATTTTATACCTAAATATGGAGACGGAAATACTAATTAACTTTGTGGAATGAAAAGTATGCAACAGTAAATTAAGTAAAATGTGTGAAGCAATGAAGAATTACCTTCCATCCTTTGGGAACAGTAAAACCTTCAAAACTAAGATCACTTGTAACTTCACCGAATGCACCAGCTGAGGGGGGAATTAACCTCATCGATTCACGTACCACGTTCCAGCAATACTGCATCTTGTGGATATCATCCCAATTGATTAACTCGTCCTCAACTTTGGAGCGAGCAATATCCATACATTCTGTAGACAATCGAAAAACGTGCATATGTCATTAATACACACGAGTTGAGAACGCAGGAAATCCAAAAAAAAAGTCAACTTCTTCTTCTTCTTCTTCCATAAAAGTCAACTTCTTTGTTTCCTAGCTAACAGTGCGTGTAATGAATTTTCGATAAACATTCAGTCTCCGACAGATGAATCACTCGTTTTCTTCATTGAATAAAAATATAGGGCGAGATTTACCACTGTAAACTTGGTTGTAAATATGGGGAAGTTGTGCAAGAAATTTGAGCACAAAAGTGACACCGGCGGTGATGTCATCATAAGCAGGAAGTAGAGTAGCCATCAAGACATTGCAAATATCCTCTAGTCTCAAGCAACTCCGGTCGTAGTTTTTTGATCGGAACAAAATGTGAGTCAAAAGATCCACGCTTTGTTGTTCATCATCATCGACCTGATGACCCTGTTGAATCTTTTGAATAACCATCTTCAAAACCCCTTCCTTCACAACTTTGCCGGCTCTCGTCGCTTTATTGTAGGCCGTTCCGGGAAAGTCGATGGGAAATGAAAACATAAAAGTTACCGCCAAGTCGAAATACCGTTTCAAGGTGTCAACATTTATGCGATCTATGTCCTCCCCCTCCTCGTCTTTCATGCCCAAGAAAATCCTGCACACGAGTGAAAATACCATCTTCTTAGATACAGGGTAAACTTTGATATCTTCATAGGGTGCCCACTCGGTCTGGATGTGTTTCCTGGACATGGAATCCATAATCGGAATCCATGTTTTTAGGGTTTCAGGCCTTAGGAACTCGTGAACAAAAATCCGAGTTATCTTAACTGAGTCCGTCGCTGTCCACCCTTTAGGCAAAGGGAACCCTAATGGCGCCCCAAACGCAGCCGGCCACCATGGATTGATATCCTTGAAATCCTTCGAGAAGACGAATTTGTTCCCTTCCGCCCCACAAAATACTGCCATGTTTTTCTCTCCCATCAGTGAGGTTCTGAACACGACTCCTGAGGATGATGATGATGATCCCGCGGTGGCCGTGGCCGTGGCCGGGTCGTACTTTTTCATCCTATCCCGGATGAATACTTCCGGCCCGGATGATGCCAAATCCATATTTTCTCCGATGATGGGGAACCCCGTTCTTCCTGCCGGTAGCCGATGATTAATCTTCCGGCGTTTGTGATGATATTGAGATTGATAAATGAATAACACTAGGAACAAGGAGGATAAAGTAATTACGCCTACTGATGCAAAATTTACCGAGTTGTGGTACTCTGTCTCCATTTCTTTCTTTTTTTTTTTCGGTGCAGGAGGACATCGAGTTAAAACGAAATTAATAGAAGAAGAATGTATGTATGGTTTGCCTTGCGGGTGGGTGTGGACCCACATTTTCCGCTAAGAATTAAAGCTCCTCATGGAAGTCAACTACTATATTACTTCATTTGTTAATCACATGCAGGTTTCATGCGTCATTTTTTAAGCACATTTAAAGTTCAATCATTACTGAATTATGTAATTTTGTAAGTAGGCTTATCAACCTATTCTCGGTTAAAAAATAATGAAGTGGTTCTAATTATTGTTGTCAACTCGGCTTGGAGGTTGACTAGGAACAGCAAGGGACCGAGCGATTTGGGGTTCAATTTGTGTCGACTCGGGATCGATTCGGATGATGTCATTATTAATAAATTAATAACATTCAGCTATTTAATATATTTAAGATTAAAAAACTCATATTTTGTATCCTTCTCCTATTGTGATAGTTCGTATTAACATTTTATAGTACTTAATTAATAACATATTTTGTGAGTTAAATAATTATATTAATAAAGCAATTATAATACATAACTAGGTTCTTGGTCCGGGCAGACAACATTTTATTTATCAATTGATGAGAAAAATAGAGTAAAAAAGAGAGGATAAAGATGTAGTAAAGAAGATAGTTTAATAAAATGGATTTTGTTTTAATTTTCTCCTTTTTCTACATAAGATCTTTGAATTAGATTTGCAAATCATTTTTTTTTGGGAAAACTTACAAAAGAAATCCTAACTTGCACATTAGATTTTGCAAGATATATTTTGATAAATGTTGAAAAATTGAACATAATTTGCAAATTGAATTTTGCAAGCCATGTTTTGAGAAAAGTTACTAAAGAGATCATAACTTGCAAATTAGATTTTGCAAGCCATGTTTTGGAAAAATTTACAAAAGAGGCTTCTAAATTAGATTTTCCAAACCATGTTTTGGGTAAAGAAATTGGTTCCAAAACACAATTTGTTTGAAAGAAAAAAAAAACAAATATGTTAGTTTCGAATTCTAATATGGCTAGCATAATAGTAATAGAAAACATACTTATATGTTTTGGAAGATTTGCGAAAATTAATCATATATAACTTGTAAATTCGATGTTGCAAAACATGTTTTTGGATAATTAACAAAAGTGAACACAACTTGCAAATCTGTTTTTGCAAGCCCCGTCTTAGGAAATTTAAATACTTAACATAACTTTCAAATTAGTTTTTAGAAGCCGTGTATATAAGTAAATATAGTAAAAAGTGTACTTCATAAAAATATGAAGAATTAATAGTAATTGTAAAAGTGAGACATCATATGAACATAATTTGCGATTGTCTGGCAAATCATATATTGTGATAGGGTTAGGGTTTAGTTATAAAAAATTGAACATTACTGGCAAATTCGATTTTGCAAGCCACGTTCTAGAAGAATTTACACAATATAAACATAACTTACAAATTATATTTTGCAAACCATGTTTTGAGATAATTTACAAAAGTGAACATAATTTGCAAATTAGATTTTGCAAGCCATATTTTGAAAAAATTTACACAATATAAACAAAAAAATTAGTGGCCATACGGATGACAGTCGGTGGTCATTTTTGTCGCGTTCAACCAAGACAAAAAAAAAAAATTAAAAGTAAAATTGAAAGAGAGAGGGCGCAAAAAAAATATTATAAATTTCAAAGTACATAATTTAACCTATATTGAGCAGAGGATGAGAAGAACGATCCTGTGGACGTGTGTGTATAGGAGGTGGAGTTTAAGTAGTAGTCCTAACACGTATACTTTAAATCAATCAATAAATGCATAATCAATAACTTGTAATCTTTTCCAATTTTTTTTTAAAATCGAATATGTAAGGAAAAAGCATCCACTTTCAATCATAGATATTCACGAATTATTTTGAAATTGATCATAGAAAATCTTACAAATCTCGCTCAAATCAAAGTATAAATGAGCACTAATTTGTGATACTTTCTTAATTTATTTAAACCGAGTAACTGTAGATAAAACATACACATTCAATTATCATCTTCAAATCATTTCACATAAAACTTCCATGTCTTAGTCAAATCATTGAATAAATAATCACTAATTTGTGATTCTTTACTCAAGTAATCAAATTCATCCATAAATTGTTATTGTTTCCGTAAATTATGTTTAACAATTAATGCGTCGAACATTTATATACTAAAAACTTTTGGCGGAAAACGAGTGAACAGGAGCTTGACACGTGTACTTGTTTCTACAAACTTATTTTGCTTTAACATAATATATATATTAATTAATAAAAAAATGATTGAGTTTGCACAATAAATTACTTCACAAATTAATAAAAATTAATGTAAAATCAATTTCAACCTATTTGAGCAAAAATTTAAATTTTATTTAAACCATGCGAGTTAGTTTGTATAACAAAATAATGAAAATTTTAAAGTAATGCAATCAGTAGTTGAAAGTAAAAATTAAGGACTAAAACACTAGAACAAAAGATGAATCTTCGAAAATTGATGTGTCCAAATAATAATTATTATTTGGTCCAATGTATATGTACATATTAAATCAAGTGTGATGGGGAGAAGATGAATCTGATCTCAACTATCAAAACAGAGAGTTGACTATCAAATACTTTATTAGCCAAGTTGGATGTCGAATGTTACGTGAGTGATAGGGTTCATATATATTCGTTTAAGATCTCAGCACATAAAATGATTTTTAAAAAGAAGTTTGAAATGGCCGGCTGAATTTTCTCTTAGTGAGCGTGTCCAGCAGCTGAAGTTTCCGTGGTTCAACTTGTTGGTAACGGTTGAATTACTCTTTTTTCGACCCTTTAATTTGAAAGCTTTGGTTCTATATTAATTTATTTTAATTTTTAAAACATACCATGATCATTCTTTCAACGGTTTTTTTGCCTAAGTTCAGATCCAAAAGTACCCCTTCTGTCCCGAAATTAATATTTAGTTTGGATTTTCATTCTTAATTCAAATTGTACTAAAACTAAAAATACAAATTAGACAATAATCTGAGGATAAAGGAAGAATTAAGTAAAAACAATTCTAGAGTGGTTATATTAGATTATATTAATATTAATTTAATAAGTCCGGACTTTTGTTCAAAGCATACAAATATTTGATAAGGATAAGAGGAAAATTCCAGTAATAATAAAGGTGGTAAATAATACGTGATAGTTGATTTCATTACATGGAATTAATGTGTATTTCACTACTTTACTTAAAACTTAAAGTAATTCATAATTTTATGATTTTTTAAAAATAATCTATGACCTAACTTGTAAAGATTTATCTTTGAATTGGACTAAATTTAATTAACCCAGTACATATAATGAATAGAGAATAAACGAGCAGAAAATCTAGCCTAAAATGCAAAAATAACTCATAGTAAACTGACTAGTCCGATTTCAAAAAATAATTTATATATATAAATTTTGTCCCAAAAAATAATCCAGTTTCAGAAAGTCAAAATTAAATTTCACCAAAATGACTGGTCCGATTCCTTACACTTTCATTCCTTTCGGAGGAGGATCATGAATGTGCCCTGGAAATGCCAGGCTTGCAATACTCACTTTTGTACATTACCAATACTGTGCAAGTGGGAACAAATCATTCCAAATGAAATAATTTCATATTTTCCGGTTCAAGTTCCAGCTCAAGGCCTTCCTATTCATCTCTGTCATCACGAATTAAGGTGAAGGAATCCCAAAGCCAGTACACACATCGGTCTTAGTAGATGATTAATTATTTGCTAATTTTAATTTTTTAGTTCATTTATTTTGTTTTTGTTACATGCAATAGCAGGTCAATCAGAAATGTGGATTTTTCTTTAATCATGCATGACATGATGAATTTTAATTGGAATATTTTAACATAATAGTTCAATCAAATTCTCATAATTAGACTCTAGAATTATCCAGACATAATATATATAACTAAAAAAATAGTGGTCTTATACTGGAAGTGTTAATTTGCATATCCACACTATTACACACACAAATATATATATATATATATATATATATATATATATATATATATATATATATATACACGGGGTGGGAGAGTTGGGTGGGGTGATTACGGGACTAGGATGGGGATGGTTATTACCGAAAGATCGATGGTTCGATTCTCACCTGAGCTATCCAATTTATATATATATATATATATATATATATATATATATATATATATACGGGGTGGGAGAGTTGGGTGGGGTGGTTACGGGACTAGGATGGGAGATGGTTATTACTGGAAGATCGAGTGTTCGATTCTCACTGAAACCATCAAATATATATATATATATATATATATATATATATATCTGTGTGTGCGTGTGCGCATGCGTACATATATATATATGTGTGTGTGTGTGTCCTCTACGGCTTTACATACATATATCAATCATGACGTGTTTATTGACACTCTGAGCAGCTTAAAGTCTAGGGGTTAAAATTTTTATTTTATTTTTTGGCTGCCTACTCCATTCTACTACCTTTCCCTTTAACGCATATAAGATCTCTTTACTCTGCACCAAGTGAGAATTGAACATGCGATTAAATTTATTACCGGGTTGTGAAAGGGTCGTGCTGTTGAGCGCTCTAATTTTTTCATTTGAACGCCCGAAAAAGACATACATGCCCCTCGGGTTTGATGTTTGGCGAGGGAGAAATGAGCAACCCCTTTAAGGGGTGGCGAGAAAATCTTCGCCATGCGGCAAAGGTGTGGCGCCCTTCTGGGCGCCACATTGGTGCTGGTTGGCGAGCTTTTTGCTCGCCAACCAAAGGGTGGGTGGCGCCATTTTGTGCGCCACCCACCTTGGGTAATTACTTTTTTTTTTTAATTTTTTAATTTTTATTTTATTTATTTAATTATCTTTAATTTAATTATTTTTAATGTATTTAATTAATTTCTTTTATTTATTTTAATTATTAGCTTAATGAATTTATTTAATTCATGTATTTATTTAATTTA